ACAAGAATATCCCTGACAAGAGAAAGCAAATGTAGTGATTTACATTCAAGGATATACAGCTGCCAAGGAGCTGAAACGTTCTGCCCTGTCGGACAGCTCAATCTGTCCCCAGTAGAAAGGGTTCACTGGGGCTGCCAAGCAGTCCCCAGCTTGGCTTGGAGCCTGCACAGAGTCGATAGCCTCAGGGAGGCCGTGAACCAGCTCTGTGAACCAGAAACCCAGAAGATTGAGTGCAGCTGGCCAGGCAGGATCTCTGCCTGCTCCAGGGACACAGCCGTCACTCTCCAGCTCACCCAGAGAGCCAGTCACCGGCCTCCTGCATCCCTCCGCCTTCTCCTTTGAGGATGATTGTTTATCGACTGAAAGGGTCTCCTCCATTCCATCTCATTCATGGTTTCCATGGACTTTCCTTTTTCTTTCTTTCTTTTTTTTTTTTTTTTTTTGAGACAGAGTGTCACTCTGTTGCCCAGGCTGGACTGTAGTGGCGCTATTTTGGCTCACTGCAACCTCTGCCTCCAGGTTCAAGCAATTCTCCTGCCTCAGCCTCCTGAGTAGCTGGGATTACAGGCACGCACCACCACATCCCGCTATTCTTTATATATATATATTTTTAGTAGAGACAGTCATCATGTTGGCCAGGCTGGTCTTGAACTCCTGACCTCAAGTGATCTGCCCATCTCGGCCTCCCAAAGTGTTGGGATTACAGGTGTGAGCCACCCTCCCTGGCCTCCATGGATTTTCTTAGTCAATTGTTTCTTGTTGACAAGGCATAGCAGGAAGTCACCTTGCAACAATTCTGACCATGTTTGGGGACAGCCACCTTTCTGAATCCAAGCATGTCTTTGGGTCTCTGCTGGCTTAAGCCACTGTGTGTGGAGATGTATAAACTTCTACCTGTGGCCTAAGTTTTGGGGTCTTACAGTTCACTGTTCCCTGGAGTTACAAGACCTGGGCATCAAAACACAGAAGAAATATGATGAAGGAAGAGAATTCAAAACCACTTTGGGAGGAAACCCCTGGTAGAAGGCTAGGCTAGCACTGTTGCTTGTGACGTTGACAGTCTAAGAATCAGAGAAGGATCCAGGCCTCTAAGAGCTTCTTTAGCAAATGGAGTCCCTCACTGCTAGTACAGACCAGAAAGTACATGACTTTATTTTCCTTCTACTACTCAGTGGCTTATTTTAAAGCAGAACAGGAAAAAAGAAAAGAAAAGAAAAGAAAAGAAATCCAATTATCAATGCCTAAGCCAGAGTGGAGTAACCACCAACAAAACAGCTGTTAACATGGCTGACGCATGTTCCTGTTAACTGCTTTAGTCAAGTTAAAGGCCTGGCAAGGGAGAGATCCTGACTGGCTTAGCAAGGAGAGGGATTTCTGAGGTAGCCACCACAGATGGTAGCAGATGTCATGCAGCCTCAGAGCAGAAGCCACCAGGGACTTCACCATCTCAGAGCTGAGCAAAAAAGCTGAGAAACACTCAGCCGCGTCAACTGCCAATTATATACCTCAAGAATCTCAGGAAGCCAGGGAGTGTGTAAAAGTTTCTGTAATTAATCGCTTTCCATTCTCTTTGTCCACAAATCTGTCAGCTCATGGCTCTTCAAAAATCAAGGATGCTGGCTTCAGGTATCTCTGCCCTCATCTAGTATGGCCAGCAGCATGAAGATGGAAATGCACAATTTGTAACCATATTATTCATTACAAATTATACTCCTGCTCAGTTGTCCTGTTAGAGTCCTAGGATTAAAAGTGATCCCTGACTGACAAGAAACCAGTTGCTCAATTCCTTCTATTACAGAGTAGGGCAGCAGTCACCTATGTAGGCTACAGTCACACCAGCTTGGGGATCCCCCAGTACCTGTTGCCTGATGTTACTCATTACCTCTCTGAACCTCAGTTTCTTCATCTATGAAGCAGAAATAATAGTGCCTGTCTTGTTGGGTGTTGGAATGATTACCTTTGATAGTGCAAGTAAAGCACCTGGCACAGTACATTGCACACAGTAAATTTCGAAGAATGCCAGGCATTATCCCAAATCTATGAATGCCCAGAAAGGTGCTGTTTGGTATTGTCATGCTCCTTACATGACCCACAAATTTCTACATCTCATAATCACACCTATTAGAAAGTAACTCTGTATGTGGGGCTACAGATACTCATAAACCTAATTGCAAATTTTAAAAGGCTATTATTAATTGTTATTAAGACTTGAAATTACTTTGTCAAATGGTGACTATGGACCTCCTCAGATGTACAAGATAACTTCTTTTTTTTTAATTCTTTTTTTTTTGGAGATGCAGGCGGGTGGTCTCATTATGTTGCCCAGGCTGGTCTTGAACTCCTAGGCTCAAGCAATCCTCCCACCTCAGCCTCCCAAAGTGCTGGGATTACAGGCATGAGCCACAGCACCCGGCCCAAAATAAGTTCTTATATTAGAAATCCCGGTGGGGCATGGTGGCTCATGCCTGTAATCCCAAAACTTTGGGAGGCCAAGGTGGGAGAATTACTTGAGCCCAGGAGGTCAACACCAGCCTGAGCAACAAAGTGAGACCCTGTCTATACAAAACATAAAATAATTAGCTGAGCATGGTAGCACTTGCCTGTAGTCCCAGCTATTTGGGAGGCTGAGGCAGGAGGATCACTTGAGCCTGGGAGATGAAGGCTGCAATGAGCTCTAATGGCACCAGTGCACTCCAGCCTGGGTGACAAAATGAGACCCTGTCTCAAAAAAGAAAAAATCCATACATTACTTAAAACTGGTAAATATTGCTTTATTCTATAGCACTATGCTTAATGAAGCTTGAAACCAACTAACATCACTTTTCCCTGTTTCTTTTTTTTTCAGGAAAACACAGAACTGGTAAGGTGTTTTCCCTACTGCAACATTTAGGAATATGCTGAGCTGGACACATATTTCATTCAATCACTTCCATTGTCTGTATTCATCCTCAGACATCAAATGACAATAGTCTGCAAAGTAACAGTTGTTCCCCATAAGATTTCCAAACATTCAGCTATGCTCCATTTTCCAGGGCACAGAATGGGCTACTGTAGTTAAGAATTTTTCTGTCATCTGAGAGTTCCAGTTTGTCTGTCTGTACAGGGTGAGTGACCAAAGTAGAAAACTGGTCAGGACGTGAAGTGACTGGAAGCAGAGGGCTAAAAAGGCAGGATGAGGAAAACAGAGTCGTGAATTCTTCAACAGCCAAGACCTCAGGAAAGGCTCGTGTGTCTGAGCTTCCATTCTACCCGCTGATACAGCAGTCCCCTCTCAGCCACAGTGCTGCTTCTGTGGTTTCAGTTACCTGTAGCCCACCAAGATCCAAATATAGCAAATGAAAAATTCCAGAAACAGGCCAGGTACAGTGGCTCATGCCTGTAATCCTAGCACTTTGGGAGGCTGAGGTGAGTGGATCACCTGAGGTCAGGAGTTGCAGAGCAGCCTTGACAACATGGTGAAACCCTGTCTCTCCTAAAAATACAAAAACTAGCTAGACAGGGTGGTGCATGCCAGTAATCCCAGCTACTTGGGAGGCTGAGGCAGGGGAATCGCTTGAACCCGGGAGGCAGAGGTTGCGGTGAGCCGAAATCGCACCACTGCACTCCAGCCTGGGTGACAGAACTGTTAAAATAAAAAAAGAAAGAAAAATTCGAGAAGTAAACAATTGGTAAGTTTAAAACTGTAGGCCATTCTGATCTGGCGGTGTCCTGTACTGTCCCAACTGGGCCCTGAATCCTCCCTTTGTCCAGTGTATTTATACTGTAGACCAAGCTTGTCCAACCCACAGCCCATGCAGCCCAGGATGGCTTTGAATGCGGCCCAATGCAAATTTGTAAACTTTCTTAACACATTATAAGTTTTTTTGTGATTTTGTCTTAGCTCATCAGCTATCGTGTTAGTGTATTTTATGTGTGGCCCAAGACAATTCTTCTTCCAATACGGCCCAGGGAAGCCAAAAAACTGGACACCCCCATAGATGCTTCCCGACCGTGAGTCACTTAGCAGCTGTCTTGGTTATAAGATCAACTGCTTCTGCTCAAGTAATCTTTATTTTACTTTAGCACAGTACATGGCCATAATCACTCCATTTTATTATTAGTCATTAATCTCTTACTGTGCCTCATTTATAAATTAAACTTTATCATAAGTATGTATGTATAAGAAAAATGGTATATACAGGGCTCAGTTCTATCTGAGGTTTCAGGCATCTCCTGAGGATAAACAGGGAATATTGTAGGAATAGCATTGGTATCGGTACCACTGGACTGGTTCGTATGAGTTCACACACAGTGAAATCAAGCGCATTGTAGACACCAAAGCCCCAGACAAACTGGAGACAGCCCACTAAACCGACTGCTAGAGTCAGGCGTCTGCTCCCTCCTGTGCTCTGCCCTGTGCCCACCCGACTGGCACTGCTCTTGTCTCATTCTAGCTCATGAAGGCTCTGCTTTGTCCTCGCCATCACTTCCCCTTTTTCAACACAAGGCCATGTTTGCTAGTATCTTAGCATGACTGTGAATACACCACCCTTCCTTCTGCCAGGGCTCAAGCAACGGGCCACACATCGCCAACTTCCTACGATATCAAAGACTTGAGATTCATTTAAAAATTGACTACAGGGGGAGAGAGGGATGAATAGATGGAGCACAGAGGATTTTTAGGGAAACTATTCTGTGTGATACTGTAACGGGGGAAACATGTAGTCATACATTTGTCCAAACCCACAGAATGACACCACCATGAACCCTCAACTATGAACTGTGGATAATGATGTGTGTCAATGCAGGTTTATTAAGTGTAACAAATGCACCACTCTGGTGGGAAATGTCGCTAATGTGGAGGGGAAGCTATGCCTGTCTGGGGTCAGGGTTCAGAAGAGAAATCTCTGTACCTTCTGCTCAATTTTGCCGTGAACCTGAAAGTGCTCTAAAACATAAAATCTACTAAAAAAAATTGGTAACACACACACATTTGCTACTAAGATGGGCTCCAACAAATGTGAAAATTTAAGAAATCTACCTCTTTATTTAACACCCAAAGCTAACATCAAGTGTTTATTTAAAAAAATAATGGCACCTGCTTTGAATTCATTGATGACACCACAATGGGGCGAAAATCTACAGGGAATTCACAATTTTAGGCTGACATGAAACTAAGAAGTAACTCACAAAATGGAAATTCTGCAACAAGCCTCACAATAAACATTTCCAGTTTCTACTTTCAGAGTTGCTAACTACTGCCTAAACATATCTTAAACACAGAGCACGTTTTGTTGAAATATTTCTCTTAGGACAAACACAGTAGACATGCTTTAAATAAATTAAAATTGCAACACATAAATCATTCCTAAAACAATCAAGGTGCATTGCTTTCCAGCTTCTTATAAATAGAATTGTACTGATTTCAGGAAACTATAGGTTCTGTTTCATATCTTTTTTTTAACATCTTATCTAGTTTTGATGTGAATAAGCCAATTTCATTCTTTGCAGTGATTTATCTTTTTAAACCAACTCATTCCTTTGTGCATATGCTAACTTTAAAACACCTCTTCACATAAGCCCTGAATTTTAAGTGATGCCATTTCTTCCTACCCCCAGCCCACTCCTCAGAATTACAGAAACATGTAAAATAGGTTGTTTAATCACACATGTTCGCATGAATAAATATATTTAAATGTTTTTCCAAACCAATACAACAATATCTGGATTCACTGCAAAAACGTTCCCATTCAATGCAAAATAATTTGGCACAATCCGACCAAAAAAGACAAAAGTAATTAGTTGCCTGAGAGAAGCTAGTTCCTCATTATTACTGAGCCCGTAATTAAACCTGATATGCTAGAGAAATGGCAAGGCAATAAACACACAGAGTGGGGCAATATTTAATTGAAAACAAGAGTGACAGAGCTAGAAAGAGCGAAAACCACATGAATGCTAATTGACAGAGAAGGATAACAGCCTCCACGGCTGAAATGAAAGACGGAGTTTCAGATTTCCTTCTGTGAATAGCTGACAAGGATCACGCAGGCAGAGGCTACTGTTCCAAGCTAGAAACTTGGGACTAATCCCACATTCATTGTCCAAACCCAGCAACGAAGTGCTTTTTTGCTGTTTCACTATGGGTTTCCATTTTTGGTTTCTTTTTTTTTTTTGGTGGTGGGCGAGGGATGGTGTTCCGGTTTAATCATATTCAAAGTTTGAACTTGAAATAACCAACTCAAGACCCACAGGACAGTATGTCACCAGATAAACGCAGTGCTAGAATCCAATGTCCAGCATCGACACTCAGGAATGTTTGCTGAGCGACCAGACGGTGCTTACCCACCCAACAAGCACTTTCATCTTGGGCTTGGCCCAAGATGTTTACCATAAATGAAAGGTGTGGAGAAAGGATTATAGTTGACACAAACATAAATATCCAATTCCAGCATATGTTATAGCTACACATCACTATTTTTAATTGTAATATTTCTAAAATGTCATTTAATCTCCTTACGCATTAAAGATAACAGTGGGAGTGTTTATTCCTTAAGAGAGAATAAACTGCAGAGATTAGGTTTCTTTCGAGTGTATCATCTTATTAAAAAGTACGAAGTTTCATGAACTTTCAACAAGACTGCGAAATAAATATGCCAGGTAGGTTGAGCCTATCGAAGTGAAAACAAGGTTATTTGACATTTAGTGAAAGTCAATGAAAATATGAACTCTTTAAAAGGAATTCATGATCCAGGTAGGAGGATTTAGACCCTACAGTATGTTAGAATAAAGCTAGTTTCTAGCAGGTTCTGAAAACAGCTCCAGACTAGAGGGGACAGAGTGTGCTACTTTTCATTCTCTTCTCTACTTCTGTCACTGAGGAGAAGATACACGGATCGCAGGTCTGAGAAGTGTGCATTAAAGCACATTTGCTAGGCTGAGCACTGGAATGGTGTGAGCTAGTGTGAGAATGAGGCCTACATCTTCTTGGACCATCCCAGAGCCCTTCACCTAAGGGTTAGAAATCTCTCATTCTCTAAACTAACAGCAGCACTCAATACCTGGTGTGTCCAAAGTGGTGCTTGGAAAGATTCACAGATACCAAGAGGGGCCCATCCAGGCCCCAGCTTGATTTAGGAGTGTAAGTTACACTCAGCTCTCAGCCCACGCTCAGTCTGATGCCCACAGGTAAAGGGTAATGCTGGCCATGGAAATACAAAAGCTGAAGGAAGCACAACATTCTCTCTGCCTCCCTGCCTTGCACCTGGTCTCCTTATCTGTCCCCTGGACTTGAACGATCAGTGTATACACATCAACGTGGGAGACCAGGGGGAGTCTGACAATGAAAGGAGAGACAGTCATGAGATCGGAGTGGGACTGGTAATTCCCTCTTCCCTGAATCCAAAATACTTTATCACCAAAGATTTCATGAAATGACATTTATTGTTTAAAAAAGCATGAGTCTGGAATTAGATAGTGGTGATGGTTGAACAAGTTTGTGAATTTACTAAAACCACTGAATTGCACACTTAAAAAAAAAAAGCAAGCTTGAGCTGCATAAGTCCAACTCATACACACTGGACTTTGTACTAAATGCTCAACTATTCCATTCTCTCAGACTATGGCACATTCTGTCACATTTTTTTCCTTCAGGAGATTTCCCTAAGAAGAGCTGTTTGCAAAATATTGCACTTAATTTGAATCCAAGAGACCTGATATCTTCCGGAAGAAAATGTGCACTCACATGCCTTCCTGCCTGCAGCAGCTGGCGGGAGTGGTGGGACAAGGGGCTCAACAGCAGTTTCCATGAACATTGTTTACATCTTCCTCTTTGTTATATACACAGAGACACAGATTTAAAGGAAAGTATCATCTAGGCTGAAGGTGGTGAACGGTATCCCCCACACAGGGATGTGAACTTTTGAATGCTTTCAGCGCAGAGGCAGTGTGGCCATCCTAGTACCTCAGGACTTACGTTCAGTGAGATGTTAAGAGACAGGGGTCCACCTTGGCTCAAACACTGGACTTATTTATTTTATTCTTGCTAGCCTTTCACATCTTGAAAAGGACACTCAATCTTCATCCAGGTAAATTGCCCCCACTAATCTAGCTGCCACTCAGTCACACCCCATGTCCTCGTTTCCTCATGCTTTCAGTGTTCTGACACCTCAGTCCACTTTAACTTTAGAGGCTATGATTCCGTCGTCCTTCAAGGAAAAAACTGCAACATGACCGTCATTTGTTTTCATTTCCTGAGTAAGCTTTGCAGTCCCTCACAGACCTGTGAATAAAATGAATCACATAAAGTGAATCATATCCTCCAGGGGGGCTTATCACAATCAAGATTTGCCAAAAAAACAGCCAGGCATGGTGGCTTGTGCCTGCAGTCCTAGCTGCTCAGGAGGTTGAGGTGGGAGGATCCCTTGAGGCAAGGAGTTTGCGACCAGCCTGGGCAATATTTAGCAGAACACTGTTTCAAAACAACAAAACAAAACAAAAAAAAAGATTTGCCAAAACACAAACCTTCAGAGTAGTGCTCATGGGATTCCAAATTAATGTTAAAGTCACAGTCTGATGAGGGATCTGAAAACATTCCTGCACACTCTGAAGGCTGGCCATTTGCTGGCCAGTTCAGGTAAAATCAGGTGTCTGTTTCCTGCATATGAGAAGGGGAAAGCTCCATTCATAAATCCCTATGTCTTACCATTTAAAGTGTAACAAAACCCCTCAGGTAGACTTGTTGGATAACAGGTGTGTGATAAGATTTCCATCTTACAGGGTCACAAACGACTGACCGCTGTGGACACTGAGTACATGACGGGACCTATGGTTGCCTGGAGACAAGCAGGGTGGATCACATGGGGACCAAAGGCCACAGTGTTTAACACTGCCCAAGCCTGTGGTTCTTCATTCCCTGAATCATGCATATCCTTGCTTTTTATAGGACTCACAGAAAACAACCATTAGCAATTGTGAAGCTCCATTCTGACAGAGACTTAGGAGAGAGACCTTTCTTCTGGATCACCAATTACGCCAAGGTCTCGATATACAGAGGTTTACCACGCTGGGCTAGTCAGGTGGGCAGGAAATCGGTCTGATTAAGGCAGTGAGCAAGGTAGGAGAGCTCTGAAATAGATTCGTGTTAACAAAGTACAAGGACTGAGTTGGCAACTGCTACCGAGTTAAGAGAATTGTAGTTATTTACACCACACAGCCCTAGTTTTTCTTGCACACGAGTCCGCACAATCATTCATTGTAAAATTTGGTAATATGCACAGAGTTTTCTTTAAAATAAAAACTTGAAAGAACTTGAAGGCAGGAACCAGCGGCTTCATCTTGGTATTATTATCCTTTCTATGGCACACAGGATATGGTCCCAGTTTTTACAAAATATAGCAAGAAGAGTCACGGCAAAGAAGGTGCCAAGAATGTGGCAGCGGCTCTTCATCATGGGCGAGACGAACTTCGCAATGGTGGACACACACACTAAGATGACAGTCATGAAGGCCAGGATCACGTTGATGCACTTCCCCAGGAGAACTTTAGCATTCACGGTGTCTGTCTGCAGAGCTTGCTGCTCTTGCTGGTGGAGCTCCAGCTTAGAAATGCGAGTCTGGCAGGACTCCAAGGCTTCCTGTGGGCAAGAGGGACAGCAAGGGTCAAATGGTGTTGGGATCGTGAGCAACATGCGAGTGCTCGCTCAGCTGTACACAAAAGCCCCGGCTCCGAAAGCCCAATGCCCAGGCGGCTGCGAATCCCCAAACTGCTGATGAGGGTGACAGACAAAGATGTGGAACAAGAATCCCAGGCTCACTTTCTCCTGTTGCCCACGAGTAGAAGAGCATGTGGACACAACCACAAAATGCCACAAATGAGGAAGTATGGCTAAGTTTTTTGACTTTACTTTTTTTTTTTTTTTTTTTTGAGACGTAGTTACCTTGCTCTGTTGCCAGGCTGGAGTGCAGTGGCGCGATCTCAGCTCACTGCAACATCTGCCTCCTGAGTTCAGGTGACTCTCCTGCCTCAGCCTCCCGAGTAGCTGGGACTACGGGCACGCACCGCCATGTCTGGCTAATTTTTGTATTTTTAGTAGAGATAGGGTTTCGCCATATTGGCAAGGATGGTCTTGATCTCCTGACCTCGTGATCTGCCCGCCTCGTCCTCCCAGAATGCTAGGATTATAGGTGTGAGCCACCATGCCCAGCCTACTTTATCTTTTTTTTTTTTTTTTGAGACAGAGTTTCACTCTGTTACCCAGGCTGGAGTGCAGTGGCGTGATCTCGGCTCACTGCAACCTCTGCCTTCTGGGTTTAAGCTATTCTCCTGACTCAGCCTCCTGAGTAGCTGGGATTACAGGTGCACGTCCCCACACGTAATTTTTGTATTTTCAGTAGAGACAGCGTTTTACCATGTTGGCCAGGCTGGTCTCAAACTCCTGACCTCAAGTGATCTGCCTGCCATGGCCTCCCACAGTGCTGGAATTACAGGCGTGAGCCACCGTGCTCAGCCTGACTTTCCCTATTTTTGAAATAAAGTTATATAAAATATTGGTGCCTGTTGGTGCCATCAGGGACAAAGCAGAGAAGGAGGGAGGTTCCACTCTGTGACTACTCTACCTTCAGCCAAGGAGTGTGTGGGATCTCCAATGGCCAGTCCTTATTTCCACTGCTCAAAGATTTTGTCCATCGGTTAGAGATTGGCAGAGGAAGGCGAGAGAAGGGAGGGGCAGGGACTGGGGCTGACTGCGGGGCAACTGTGCTTTCGCCTGCTCTCTGAACAAGGTGTTACTTAGGACACCATCCGAGGCTATCTCCCTGGATCTCATCCATGCCAAGTCTTCCATTACTAAGACACAAGATGACTACAACTGACCTAATCTCTAGGCCAGTTCTCTCTTCTGAGATTGACTCACAGATCTCCGTGCCTCTTTGACATCTCCATCAGAGTTTCTTGAAAGCACCTCAAATGCAACACGTGCAAATGTGACTTCATGTATTGCAGCTACCCAACACCTGCAGTCAACCCTGTTCCCTTCCAGTGTCCTTCTCAGAGCAGAGCACCATGATCCATCCAGTTCCTCATACCAGAAGCCTAATGTGCATATCCTGACACCCTTCTCATCCAACCCGCCACCCAGCCACAGAGGCAACATCCAGTTTCTAGCTCAACTGGTCCGGTTGTCTCCACCTGGTCAGCACCCCAATCTAAGTCACTGGGATCTCTTGCCTGCAATAACCTTACACGAATTTCCCTATATATCCTTTCGTTCCCCACCCTCACAAATCCATTTTCCACAGAGCCGCCCAAGTGGTCTTTTAAGGATACATATTTGATATCACTCCTTTTCATAAAACCTTTCCAATCTTTAATATGGCCTTCTGAGGCCTTGAAAGGCCCAGGTTCAGCTCCCTCTCCTCCCTCAATGACTTCATGCCAGCCCCTTGCCCTGTCATAGTGCTCTGGCCTTTTCCAAGTTCTTTTTTTCTTTGAAGAGACAGGGTCTCACTCTGTTGCCCAGGCTAGGGTGCAATGGCACAGTCAGAGCTCATTTCAACCTCACCCTCTGGTCTCCTGCCTCAGCCTCCTGAATGACTGGAATTACAAGTGCGAGCCACCACACCCAGCTTTATTGTAAGTTCTGAAAAGGAGCATAGACTCACCTCAGGGCTTCCGCACATTCAGTACACTCTGCCTGAGATGTGTGCATCCCCCACTCCGTCCCTTCTTCACCCGTGGATCTCCCACTCATTTTTTAGGTCTTGCCTTGATTGCCCCACCCTTGGGGAAGCCTTTCCTGATCCATGAGATGAGGTCAAGTCTCCCTTCAGCTCTCCTCCCCAACCATGAGACATATGCTGCCTGAGGACAGGAACTAGTGCGTCTCGCATTTGCTGTCCTCTTCGGCACAGAGCCAGAGCCAGGCATGCAGCGCGTGCCACACACTGGCTGAATATGAAGGAGACAGCTAGGTGCCAGTAAGAAAATGTGAGGCTTGACAGGTACAGTGGGGCATGCCTGTAATCCCAGCGCTTTGGGAGGCCGAGGTGGGTGGATCACTTGAGGTCAGGAGTTCAAGACCAGCCTGGCCAATATGGTGAAATCCCATCTTTACTAAGAAAATATAAAAATTAGCTGGGCATGGTGGCACGCACCTGTAATCCCAGCCACTCAGGAGGTTGAGGCAGGAGAATCGCTTCAACCCAGGAGGCAGAGGTTGCAGTGAGCCAAGATTGTGCCACTACACTCCAGCCTGGGCGACAGAGAGAGACGGTTTTAAAAAAAAAAAAAAAAAGAAAAGAAAAAAGTGAGGCTTGAGAGAGAAACCTCCAAGCCTGCTGGGTGAAAAGGATCTAACTAGAGGTAGTACAATATGCCCCTCTCTGTTCTAACTCATGTGCCAATCTGTGTTTGCTCAATTAAAATATAGTCATCTTTTCAGGTTTTAAACAAGCATAATGGCTCCAAGATTGATTTGCTTTTCTTCTGCTGAATAACTCTATGGGCCAAAGAACAGGTTCTCTGTTACTATAGTAACTTCTATTATACTAGGCTACCAACGAAAAGGATAAAACTTCTTCAGATCTTCACATTCTAGAAAGTGCTGGCTTTCAACAGTAACAGGCATGTACCAGAAATCACGCGTTCTTTTCAACCACTTGGGTCCAAGGTTTCCTCCATTTTAGGCGTAGCACAGAAAAGGGGATGGAACAAGACAAAGGACCAACCTTTTAGGAAAATCCATGAATCTTTGATTATAAGATGAATTACATGTACAAGTAGACCGATCTCAGGACTGTCTTACAACTGCTGTCAAATTTTTTTAACGAAAAGAAAAATCCAAGAAAATTAAGCAGTGAATTGCAAGGAATTTCAGTCACAGCAGCCCGAGTATTCAGCCCCACAATTTTTGGTACTTCCTTGGGTCCAGTCATTAACTTATTGTGGATGATCACCAGAAAAAGGGATTATCTTGAAACGTTTTTAATAGGGAATTCAGGGTTTAAAAAACCACTCAGTTGTTTAAAACGACAAAACCCTTGCATCCCTGCAGGCAACAGCCTCTCTGTCTCCGGTAGCCCATTCCCTTTGTGCAACCCTGTCTGTAAGAACAAAACAAATAAGAAATAAAGATGAAGTCAAAAGGCTCAACTGCTAGAAGCCCTGAGGAATGTGGCTACTCCCAGATGTAAGGAATGGCCAGTATTTTTTTTTTGACTGTTTACTATGTGCCAGGCAAAGATTTCAAGACCTTACATGATTATCCCATTTAATCTTCTTGACAACCTTTTGAGGTAGAGCTCATTAATACTTCCATTTTATTGAGGAGGAAACTGAGGCACAGAGCACTAACTCATCCAGGGTCACACAGCATAGGTGAGGAGGGCTAGGATTCCAGCCATCATGACAGGGAAGACACTCCAGTCATTCACACAGATGTCCTCTTTGCACTTTTGAGTGAGAGATGAAACCAGAAAATGTCAAAATGAACCTCTCTGGATTTTTAAGTTCCCTTTATGTGGTCCCTCCCCACTTTATCTGTTGTCCTTCACCACTAAAATATGTTTGTTAAAACACAGAAGAACAATATTAACCCAAACTGTCCCCTAAATAAGAAAACCATGCATTCATATACCACCCAGTGACACTCGAAACATGCTCTAAAATAGAACGACTTCGTGAAGCAATTGTACTGTTCACTTGGCAACATTTTTATTTATTCTTTGGAGACAAGGCCTTGCTCTGTCGCCCAGACTGGAGAGCAGTGGTGCGATCATAGCTCACTGTAACCACAAACTCCTCCCTCTTCAGCCTCTCAAGTAGCTAAGGTTATAGGCACGCCACCCTGTCCAGCTATAATAATTTAAAAAATTTTTTTTTCTAATTATGTTGGCCAGGATGGTCTTGAACTCCTGGCTTCAAATGATCCTTCTACCTCAGCCTCCCAAAGTGCTGCGATTACAGGCATGAGCCACTGCACCCCGCCCACTTGGCAACATTTAACATTTAAATGGTTCAAGTTTCTTGAATTAGCCAGTGGTGAAGCGAACTCGCCTAATCTAGAACAGAGCCAGAAACCTCCCAAGTGTCTTTTGAGATGTGGTCTCTGGGGGCAGAATTTCCCATCAGCTCCAATGTGTTGGTTCCCAGAATTGTCCAAGTAGGCATCTGGGATTAGCACAGGCTCAGCCCTCAGCAGAGTGGAATGAAATGTGGCCAGTTGAAACTCCAGCTCACACACTGTGGGAGAAAGCGCTATCTTTATGTTTAATTTTCTCCCTTGTAAAGTGGGGCTTGGACTCACAGCCTTCAGCCTTCCTAGAGCTGGAGAAAATGACTACTGTCCACAGAGAAAATCCAAAAAAACGAAGCTGGGCGTTGCTTGAAGAGTACTTTTTTAAGAGACACAGGGCCTTACTCTGTCACCCCCCAGGCTGGAGTGCTTTGGCACAATCACTATAACCTTGAACTCCTGGACTCAAGCCATCCTCCCACCTTGGACTCCTGAGTAGCTGGGACTACAGGTACACGCTGCCACACCCAGCTAATTTTAAAAAGTTGTTTTTAGAGATCGAGGGGGTCTCACTATGTTGCCCAGGCTGGTCTCGAACTCCTGGCCTCAAGTGATCCTCCTGCCTCAACCTACCAAAGTGCCAGGATTATAGGTGTGAGCCACCAGCCCTGGGCAATTTTTTTTTTAAGGCAATCAAGGAACCTGGGGTTGTTTCACTACGTGCTAGGATCACATTAGGTAATACTGGAGCACAACTTTGTTTATATTGATCCCATTATCCTTTCCTTCCATCCACCCAGATCCTACCCTACCTTCCAGTCCCGCCTTCTCCAGGACATTCAATTACATTCCTTCCTTAAGGATGATTTGCAAGACCTTGTTTAAGCCACTTAACCTCGCTGTGCCTCGGTCTCCATATCTGAGAAGTGGGGATAATAACAGAAACTACCTTAAAGGGTTGCTGAGAAGTAAATGGGAAAAACAGAAACCTTTGAAGTGCCTTGCTAGTATTGAGCACACAGTATGCACTGAAGTGCTTTAATTTCTTACAAATACCAATGTTATTATTATTATTTTATTTATTTATTTTTTTGAGACAGACTCTCGCTCTGTCATCCAGGCTGGAGTGCTGTGGTGCAATCTCAGCTCATTGCAACCTCTGCCTCCTGGATTCAAGCGATTCTCCTGCCTCAGCCTCCCGAGTAGCTAGGACTACAGGCGCGTGCCACCACGCCCGGCTAAATTTTTGTATTTTTAGTAGAGATGGGGTTTCACCGTGTTAGCCAGGATGGTCTCGATCTCCTGACCTCGTGACCCACCCGCCTTGGCTTCCCAAAGTGCTGTGATTACAGGTGTGAGCCACCGCGCCCGGCCATGTGAATGCTATTATTTTACAGATGACTGAATAGGCTCAAGTCTTACTCAGGGCCACACAACTGATACGGTAGACGTCGGACTGAACGTGGAAATGTTTTGCCACTAAATGACTGATTGCTCCCACAGTCCACAGCTTGCTGGGCACCATATGGCTAAATGTCTGTGGCTCACAGAGTCCGTGTCATGGAACTTGGACCATGTGTGTGCTGTCTTGAGTTCTTTGGCAGCTGCGCTATCCCACACTCTCCACCTAGGCAGTGAGCTTCTTGAAGCCAGACTTTGTCTCCTACTTTTACATTTTACAGTTTTGGTGGTGATGGGCTTGGGGTGGATAATAAATACTTGTTAATTGATTTAGACAGAAAGTGTAAAGAATATAGTCTCTTAGCCAGGCACGGTGGCTCACACCTGTAATCCCAGCACTTTGGGAGGCTGAGGTGGGTGGATCACTTGCGGTCAGGAGTTTGAGACCAGCCTGGTCAACATGGTGAAACCTCGTCTCTACTAAAAATACAAAAAAATTAGCCAGGCGTGGTGGCGTGTGCCTATAGTCCCAGCTACTCAGGAGGCTGAGGCAGGAGAATCGCTTGAACCCAGGAGGCAGAGGTTGCAATGAGCCGAGACCGCCCACTGCACTCCAGCCTGGGCAACAGAGCGAGACTCACCTCAAAAAAGAAAAAGAAAAAGAAAAAAAAGAATATTGTGTTTTTACTTACTAATGTCTACAACATGAACTAGTGGGGTTAACGTGGTGCAGACAAAGTGTTTGTGCAGAGAAAACATTTTGTCCCAGGTGCCAGAAACCCTCTAGGACTTCGGCATAAACATTTAGATTGGTAAATGAATTAAGGCCAGGGAAGAGCCCAGGCCTGTGTCTAATCACAAAGAGAAGGGTACCTGGATGTCCCGTGAGCGCTCGTAGGCCTGGTAGGCCACCTTCTCCTCAATGCTGGCCAGCTCCTGCTTCAGGTTGGCCGTCTCATGCTGATGCAGGTCCGTCAGGTCATGCAGCTGGTCCTCCAGTCGCTCATACCTTTAAAAGAGAGGAGCCGATTCCGAGTGTGACATTTCACAGCACACTGCGAGACGATGTCCTTTCCATTTTCCTGTGCCAGTACCTTTTGGCTTGCTCTCATCCCCTGATGGGCTGTTTTTCTAAAAGAGTAAGGCTAAGCTGTGGGAAATGAGCTTTTGCATAACACTGAGTCCCAGCTCTGGAAAGATCCAGTCTCTGGGGTCTTGACTCTCCGTCCTTGCCACTGACGGTGCACACGGGTCAGACTAGCACCTTAGCTAGCTGCAGTGACCTCAAGATAGAGCTCATCAGCTGATGCATTCGCCAGGGTCAGGCAGGAGATAGGGCTCTGTGGGATCCTGCTAATGGAGGGCCACGACCTCTAGTGTCTGTGGTGCCTTCTCCCTCTTCTGCTCTGACACTGTTGTTGTGGTTCATGGCCAGAGAACCCACAGGGAAAGCACCATGCTTTTAGTATCACCTTCTACTCTGGAGTCAACTCTACTATTTCCCAGCACGCAAACACGCACTGATTATGGATTTCAGCTCTTGGAACCTAAGTGACAATACAAAATTAAGCTTATTACAAATTATAGATGGCTCACCACATGGTGTTTCAAAATGTCCAAATCTAGGCCGGACGCGGTGACTCAAGCCTGTAATCCCAGCACTTTGGGAGGCCGAGGTGGGCGGATCACGAGGTCAGGAGATCAAGACCATCCTGGCTAACATGGTGAAACCCCGTCTCTACTAAAAATACAAAAAACTTAGCCGGGCATGGTGTGGGCTACTGTAGTCCCAGCTACTCAGGAGGCTGAGGCAGGAGAATGGCGTAAACCCAGGAGGCGGAGCTTGCAGTGAGCCAAGATCGCACCACTGCACTCCAGCCTGGGTGACAGAGCAAGACTCCGTTTCAAAAAAAAAAAAAAAAAAAAAAGGTCCAAATCTAAAGGAACAGAAGTACAAAGATTCTCATTCCTGTGCCCTGCCCCTTTCACTGAAGATGATTTTTCTCATATTTGAAACCTCAGCCGGGTGCAGTGGCTCACGCCTGTAATCCTAACACTTTGTGAGGCCAAGGTGAGTGGATCGCCTGAGGTCAGGAGTTGGTGACCAGTCTGGCCAACATGGTGAAACCCCATCTCTACTAAATATATACAAATTAGCTGGGTGTGGTGGCAGGCACCTGTAATCCCAGCCACTTGGGAGACCCAGGCAGGAGAATTGCTTGAAACCGGAAGGCAGAGGTTGCAGTGAGCCAAGACTGCACCACTGCACTCCAGCCTGGGAAAAAGAGTGAAAACTCCATCTCAAACCCCTCTGCCCCTCAACAACAACAACAAAACATTACATAAGGACTTCAAGATCGATGTACTAAATAAAATTAACTTTGTTGGGTAATGCATAAGTGTTTTTTACTTGATAGTTGTTATAGAGGGAAATCAAATACAGAACTCTGAATTAGTGTAATGACACTATAACGGAAGTCTACTGAATCAGAATCTTAAGATGCATGTGAGTCATTGCCTATATCTGATAATTTAAGGGACCCACACATAAATCCTTCTCTAAATTGTCAGCTAAAGGCCACAAATTATAAAACTTAGAATCATGAAGGATGGAATTGTTAGGTATCCCTTATCTGAAATGCTTGGGACCAGAAGTGTTTCAGATTTTGATTTTTATCAGATTTTGGAATATTTGCATATACATAAGCAGATACCTCAAAAATGGGACCCAAGTCTAAAGACACTATTCATTTGTTTCCTATGCACCATGAACACACAGCCTGAAGGTAAAAGTGTACCGTATTTTAAATAATTTTGTGCCTCAAGTTTGTGTTTTTATTTGTGGAATTTTCCAGTTGTGGCGTTGTATTGACATGCCAAAAGTTCCAGATTTTGGAACATTCTGGATTTCAGATTTTCGGAAGAGGGATGTATCAATACATTAGGGATGTACTGATTGCTAAATGCCTTTTAATCCATATCCATATTTGTTGAAAATACAACCATAAGGCATTCTCATTTCAAGCAGATAATCTCTCTGTAGTAACTCATCCTTCTAAAAAGAATGCTACACCTATCACGTACCCACTAAAATTAAAAGTTAAAAAACATGCCAGTGGAATACTTTGAAATACCTGTATCTTTCCTCTTGCAGGGTCTGGGAAATAAAACCATATTCTCTCTTAAACTGCACCTTCAGCGCCTCGATGTCCTCAGCCAGTTGAGCTTGGGTATCCTTGATCTCCCTCAGTTCCTCCAGGATCACGGCGAGCTTCCCCTGGCTGTCCAGCGTGCTGGCTCCACCAGCCCCGAACGACTGGTTTCCGTTACTGTCGGCCGAGCCTGACGTGCCACTCGAACATTCATCATCACTGCCATACTTGGGTTTGTTCACGATGGTAGCGCTGCCCCCATAGGCCCTGGCACTCGCCTCTGGCCTAAACTCCTCTAAGGAATTTTTCAAGTGAGCAATGTTGTCGGCGCTGCCAAACTTATTCCGGATCAGGTTGGCAAACTCTCTGGATTTATTGAAAACAAACACAGGTGGAGTGAGCGAGACCCCTGGCATGCCCGATTTGCTGCTCTCCATGCAATGGGGAGCAGTTCGAGATTTCACGTGGGCATCTTTCAAAGAGCGATGTATATCCTTCAGGTGGTCTTTGGAAATGTCCTTGGAGCTCCTGGAGGCTCCATTCTGCTCGATCTCTCTGAGCTTTCGATGATACTGCTCTAACTTCTTCTGCAGCTGGGCGATGGAGTGAGCTGATTTCTGATTCTTCTTCTCAAAGACTTGCTTGATACGTCCCGCCTGCTGCTTGTCCGCGCTGTTCACTAGTTTCAGATACTCCGCAACGTTCCCATCGCGCGATGTTTGCTCAATTTTTATCTGCTCTGTTACCTTTAGAATTTTTTGCTTCAGGCTGTCTGCAGTGAGTTTGACCTTGTGGAAGTCCAGGACGCCATCTGGTACATCAAAGTTGAGGTTGGTGTCTGACCCCCCTCGGCGTATGTTCAGGGGCAGGCTTAAGGTATTCATGTCATGACGTTCTACCTGAAAGAGAAAGGAAAGCAGCACACGAAAATCTGAAGTCAAACAGATAATTACTGTGATAGAATCTGTGCACATACAAGATACACACATTAAGTCCCAGATTTTCGAACTACAAGTGTCACAGGATAAAGCAACCGTGCTGTTCCCTCCAGTTGAACATAGGGGCGGCCTGGCTCCTTCCTGCATCCATCTACACTAAGTAGCTGTGAGATTTGGATCTCCCAGGGTATCCACTTTTTTGTGTGATGAGACAGTAACCTGGCTCCCAGGGTAGAAAATGCAAAATAGAATGAGGTCACCAGTCAGTCCTGGTTTCCCAAAGTGCCCAGGTAACTGGGATGCCTGCCACGCCCCATTCACTGGGAACTACACCACTATGGGCAACACATCTAACTCAGAACTCACTCACTTAATAGAAGCAGAATCTTTAAAAAAAAAAAAAAGATGGGGAAAAATAGGAAAAAATATACGAGCAGGTACATCCATCAAACAAGAATATTATTTTCTTAATGGAATCATTAAATAGATATGATAGAATAATACGGTATAAGATTAACTTTAATAACTGGGTAATACAACAGTATTTATATATGGAAACAACCCCAAACCACACCACAGTGATATTAAAAAGAAAAAAAAAAGGGGCGGGGTGCTGGCTGAAGTGGCTCACACTTGTAATCCCAGCACTTTGGGAGGCCCAGACAGGTGGATCACCTGAGGTCAGGAGTTTGAGACCAGCCTGGCTCACATAGTGAAACTCCATCTCTACTAAAAATACAAAATTAGTCGGGCGTGGTGGCAGGCACCTGTGAGCCTAGCTACTCGGGAGGCTGAGGCAGGAAAATCACTTGAACCTGGAAGGTGGAGGTTGCAGTGAGCCGATATCACACCAGTGTACTCTATCTAGACTGGGCAAGAGAGTGAGACTCTGTCTCAAAATAATAATAATAAAATAATGATAAAACTCAGACCACATAAAACAGCTTTCTCACTCAAGGGCCATTTAGGGAAAAGAACTGCAAGGCAGCGTTGAGTTTCCCAGTGAAGCGGGTGGCAAGTTTGTGCTCTAAAAGGAAAAGGCAGAAGCAGATCATATGCCAGGTCCATGGATGTCTCTCATGGCTAGTCTCGCTTCATTACCATGCCAGACAAAGAAGATGCTAGATTCATAAACATGTAGAAACCGAGGGGTAAGGCCAGGATTTGAATCCAAGTCATCCTAACTGTAATCCTCTTTCCATGTCAGGTCACTCCATTGTTGATATCCCCGGAGGATGAAAAACAGCTCTTTGTAGAGTTCAAACACAACCTACAAACAATTCTTAAGATCCAAACTGAAGCATCTCATTTGTCAATATCCCTTTGATTAGAATAATGACCTGATATACAGTCTTAATAGAAATCAAATGAGAAGCAAGACAATATTCAGTATGTTACCTTATTTTAAGGAATTAGTGGGCTGATAGCAAAAAAATTAGTAAAAAATTAATGAATCTCACACTCAGTGATACGATTTGGATCTGTGTCCCTATCCAAATCTCATGTTCAACTGTTCCAATCCCCAGTGTTGGAGGTGGGGCCTGGTGGGAGGTGATTGAATCATGGGGACGGATTTCTCATGAATGGTTTAGCATCATCCCTCTGCTGCTGTTCTCATGGTAGTGAATCCTCGTGAGATCTGGTTGTTTAAAAGTGTGTAGCACCTCCCCTCTCTTGCCCGCATCCTCCTGCTTTCGCCGTGGGAAGTGCCTGCTCCTGCTCTGCCTTCCACCATGAGTAAAAGCTCCCTGCAGCATCCCCAGGAGCAGATGAAGCCATGCTTCCTGTACAGCCTGCAGAACCGTGAGCCAATTAAACCTCTTTTCTTATAAAGTATCAGGACTCGGGTATTTCTTTATAGCAATGTGAGAACAGACTAATGCACTGAGTGACCCAGACTCGAATATGGACCATATCCAGCAACGGGTATTAACACTTCACCACATAATAAATCCTGCCCAGTGCTCTATTCCAGAGGAGGGAGCACAGCAGCACAGTGGGACACCATCCCAGATGGGCGGGTCAGGCTTCCTCCACAACTTACAAACATTCGTTAGCATTAGCTCTTAGCCTCTCTTTTCCAATGCACAATGTTGTCATTAATTACAGACACTGGTTGCTTTATCTGGCAGAGAAGCACCATATAGGAAAAGCTGGAAGGAAGCAAATGCCCAATCGCTACAAGACTGGAAAACAGGATATATGAAAAAAGGATAAAAAAGTTGTGACTTCACTTGGTCAAGAGGGAAGGATGGGGATAGGGAATAAAGAAGGTATACAATACTCTTTAAATCCTAGAGGGTCGACCACAGGAAGCTCAAGGAATCTATGTACCTGTGGCTCATTAGTGGACCCAAACAGGAACAGGTTCAAATTATAGCAACAGAGAATGCACGAAACTTAGAAAATGTTTATTTTGGGCAGTTAGGTAATTAATGGTAACTGTACAATCACTGAGGCTAGAAATTTGATTTTACTGGAGATATTATATCTGATCATGCTACTCTATGTCTTAGAAACTTCCTTTGGCTTTCTAATGACTACTAAATGAAATAATATAACCTGGCATATGATTCCATTTAGCAGGCATTAGGAAGGGCCTTATGCCCACCTTTCAGGCCTATCTTAAGAATATCTTAAGTGAATCATACAACCTACATTCCCAGAATGTATATGAATTTTCTATGGATTTTCTCATATGCATGATATTCACAATGCCTGCCACCCATTTAGTTATGTTTATCGAAATCCTACATATCCTTTAAAACCCATTTCAAGGGCCAGGCACGGTGGCTCACACCTGTAATTCCAGCACTTTGGGAGGCTGAGGCGGGCGGATCATGAGGTCAGGAGATTGAGACCATTCTGGCTAATATGATGAAACCCTGTCTCTACTAAAAATACAAAAAAATTAGCCAGGCGTGGTGGCACACGCCTGTAGTCCCAGCTACCCGGGAGGCTGAGGCAGGAGAATCGGTTGAACTCAGGAGGTGGAGGTTGCAGTGAGCCAAGATGGCGTCATTGCACTCCAGCCTGGGTGACAGAGTGAGACAGCGTCTTAAACAAACAAACAAACAAACAAACCCATTTCAAATGCCCCTTCTGCCATGAAGCTTTTCCTAGTTCTGGTGGAATGCCCCCTCTCCATTCTGTGACATGCCTGTTGCTCTGTGCTTGTCTTGTGGCACTTCCTGACTCCTCCTTTGATCACCACCCATGCACTTTAACCCCCTGTAGACTGCAAGTTCCTTTGGGGAGGCATGATGTCACAGCTGTAGCCAACTTGAAGTTCTAGTACTCTCGTAGGAGGCTGTCAGTAAATGGTTGTCTACTGAACCAAAGTGCCATCATTCTTTATTGCAAGGAGTCTACCCTGGAATCATTTAAGACACATTTCCATTGAGCCAAAAAATAACCTCAGAGGTTGTGCTGGCATAGGCCTGACAATTCCAGGTGAAGACAGTTTCCCAATACCTGGATAATAAATCCGGCACCATTTGAAACCGATTCAACTAAACAGAGATTTTTTTCCGAGTATCAATGTGCAACAAGATACACAAATACAAATAAGGTCTTTTAAACTTTAATTGAAGCACAATTTATACTCAGAAAAAGAGCACATTAAATAAGTACAAAGTGAAATAAGTACTCGATGAATTTTTGCAAACTGAACACAATGTGTGACCAGCAGCCAGTTAAAGAAATAGAACAGGCGGGGCGCGGTGGCTCACGCCTGTAATCCCAGTACTTCGGGAGGCCAAGGAAGGTGGATCACAAGTTCAGGAGATCGAGACCATTCTGGCTAACACAGTGAAACCCCGTCTCTACTAAAAATACAAAAAATTAGCCAGACGAGGTGGCGGGCGCCTGTAGTCCCAGCTACTTGGGAGGCTGAGGCAGGAGAATGGTGTGAACCCGGGAGGCGGAGCTTGCAGTGAGCCGAGATTACCCCACTGCACTCCAGCCTCAGTGACACAGCGAGACTCCGTCTCAAAAAAAAAAGAAAAGAAATAAAACAGAAGCCTCCCTTGTGTCCTCCTTCAATCACAACGACATCACCTCCACCTCCAGGGGCAACCATGATCCTCACTTCAAACAGCATATATTAGTTTTGCCTGTTGTATACGTGTATTCTTATCATTTTTCACTCAGCACTGTTTGTGAGTTTCATAAGAACTTATCTTCGCCCTCCTGGAGCTCACAGATAAGACGAGACTAAGTTATTTAAAATCTGGTTGGCATTCTCTATTGAGAAGTCCACAACAACATCTAGAGGTAAAAAGGTTTTCATCCTTTACCTCACCAAACCGAGCAGTAAGTCAACACCTGTTCTTACTCCTTTAATTCTCAACTGCACCAGGGCTGGTCATCCAACTCTGAGTCTCAAGCAAAGCCTCATGCTCTCACAGACCTCTCGTTACAGGACAGCCTTGTACGCACAGGATATGCACAAATGGCCAAATGACTTTTGACTTACTTTACGATTTAACAATGCTTGGCATGTTCTCAAGAATCCAGGTTGGAGAAAGCAACAGCATTTAAAGCCCCAAATCAATCAATCTTACTGCTTGTCAGCAAATCTCAGTTAAAAATGTTTGATGAGGGAATAAAGTTGGAACTATTACAGGCTGCTCCTTTTGCCCTTTTATAACCCTAGCACCGCATGGGATAATTGAGAGACAGCTGTACCCATTGTTGTTAGATGCCTGTAAATTCCCTGAACACAAACTGAAATTACGTGTGAGTGCTAGAAGAAAGCTGTCAGAGTCCTCCACCCTTCGTTTAATCCAGACTTGGCACTGACCCTATATAATACACTACACAGTGCAGCTTGGTTTCAGGGTTAGGACATAGGGAGGACAAAGGTTTCTGATTATCTAGACTCAATGTACACTGTGTGGATCAGGACACTGTGTTCCTGTTTGGGTGCTGACATTTACTAGGTATGTTTTCTTGGGTAA